CCCCGGGGCGCCGCCAGCCTGGTCCCGGGAAGAGGCGGAGGGCTGGGTGGCAGCGGGTGGCTGGCTCGTGCCGTGCCAGGTGCAGGGTCTGCTGACTGGGTGCTGGCAGGCTTGCACCTGGCATGGGCACCATAGCCAGACCGTGCCAATTTAAGGGCTCCGGAGCTGGGAGGGGGGCAGACGAGTTTCCCTGGTGGAGCCCAGAGTGACCACCAGGGCAAGCTGGGGAGGGCTAGCCTCCCACTAGTTTGAATTAAGTGGCTACACAGCCATTAATTCGAACTACTTAATTCGAACTAGGTGTTAGTCCTCATAGAATGAGGTTTACCTGGTTCGAATTAAGCCCTCCGCTAGTTTGAATTAAGTTCGAACTAGCGGTTTGTATGTGTAGCGCCTATTAAATTTTATTCGAACTAACGGCTGTTAGTTCGAATTAACTTTGTAGTGTAGACATACCCTGAGATGGTATATCTCCATATATTGCTAGCCTTCAGAAGGAAAATGGTTCATAAAGCCCAGGAAGTGCAGTGCTTATGCTGCCATCTGCCCATTGGGCCAACAAAGTTAGGAGAGTTTTCCAGGCTATTGAGCACAGACAAAGATCTCTCTTGCTGTAACTACCAGGCAGTGATTCATCCTGTAACATTTTAGTTAACCTCTCAACTGCTATAGTAGTGCCCAAAAGCCTGCCCGTGTTTTATAGCTATGTATTTCCCACTGTGAATGTATCATTTACAAGAAAATATCGTGAAATAAATGTGTTTGTATCACTGTATTTCTCTAATCATATCAATTATATGTATTCATACACTCCAAAAATAAAAACGATGTTATTCAAAATAAACTATTTTAGTGATCAGAAGACATAATGAAATCTCGCAAACCAGCAGATCCTCGAAGGTGATGAGGGGACAGGATATTAAAATATTCAGAAGTGACAGGGAAAACTGTCAAGACAATAGAACAACAGTCAAGCACCTTTGATTTGGACTTTTTATTGTTTTTCACATTTACCCTCTCTAGTTAAACTTTAGAAAATGGCGACGATAAAACACGGATTGCAAGGGTGGGAAGATGGTGTGTCAGGAAATCTGATTGGTTGGATTTTGCTGCAGCGTTCTAATTTCTGAAACACAGGAGAATTAAAGAAAGGTCAACAAAGATTGTTACTCCAGTAGAAATTGATCCTCCTTTCCTGCGGGTATATCGGTTTATTCCAAAAAAATCTTCCACGAAACTGTATTTATCGGTTTAAACATGGAATTTGCGCAAAAGAGCTAAGAAAAGTCCTTTGCTTGAGCTAGGGCAAGTCATGATGTTCTCAAATAACAATGCGAATAGGACACAGGCATCATTTGATACTACCCTTTTTTGACAAAGAAAGGTGTAATGTACAGAATATATCTAATTGTTCTTCTAACGGAAGCAGGAAATTATGCTGGGAATCAAGTGACCACGTTCTAAAATTGTGTTCAGAGAAGATCAACCGGAAATGAGGGGGGTGTGGAGCGTGTAAAAGAAAATGCAACTTGACAGCAGTTCTTGTTACGAATAATGTATTAAATGACCCTCCTAAAAACAAAACAAAAAATCCCTAAGAGGATATCTGAGTTTCCATTGAAATTATAATGCTGGACCCTAACCCTAATCCTGATTCTCGAACTCCTAAATGAAACATTGCTTTCTCCGGTCATCTGAAGAAGTGCGTTTTGCCCACAAACGCTCATACCAGCTACATGTTTTGTTAGTATTTAAGGTGCTATTGGTCTATTTGTTGTTTTTTAAGAGTTTCCTGTTAATTCGGCTACCCCTCTGAATCTCTTAAATCTATATTTGCATTTATTGCATGCCTTGGAGAATCTCAAACGAGCTGAATACAGAAATGGGGGAGGGAATTACACCAAAAATTGCCATCTACATCAGATCTCACTTCAGGGAAGACGGGTAGCCTAATGGAGCACGATCACGTACCCGCTGTTTGATTATTTTGTATTTTCAAATTGGAGCAAAAGACCAGCAAGGCACCACAGCAGAGTGCAAACTGAGGGACATGTATCGATTCGCCCTGGGGTCATGAAGCAAGGCACCACAGCAGAGTGCAAACTGAGGGACACGTATCGATTGGCCCTGGGGGCATGAAGTGTATCTCGTGAGTGGTCTACTAGGAAGAGACTCGGGATGGCTTTCTTGGACCTACGCTAAACTTGAGCTCTCCAAAGCAAGACATAGCCGTGGATTTGCTGTGCTCTGAAAGGGCAGAAGGACATGCAAGACGGATTCGATGGTTTAATCCACATAATAAATAACATACTGGCAACACAATTGCTCTTTCCGGAATCACTGAAGCATCCATCAAAAGAGCCGATTCTCTGTTTTTAACCAATATACTATTTTGTAAAACCCACAGAGTATACTGAAATTTAGAGGGAAACAAGCAATAGGAAAAAACTCTCGATAATTATGTTAGGGAAAATATTTAGATATTGTATCCGTCTTATTCGCACAGAATGGTTTAAAATATATTAAAACCAATCATGGTTTTATTATTAACATGAAATCCGTTGCATTTTACAATTCATACATTTTGCATAAGGACAGGGCCAGGAATACATTTCTTATAAATTACGCACATTGCTTATGCTATACTTTTTTTCTAAGTGCTAAATTCGAACGAAATAAAAAGCTGGAGAAGACAGTCACCTAACATCGTTAATTATGTTATTGATATAGAACTGATCAGATGTAAAACCAAGAAGCGAAAAGTATTACCATTTTGAAGATCTGTTTTAAGACAAGTCATATTTGTCTGGGTGAAATGTTTTACACATACGGGTTAAGCGTGCATATGGGAATCGGGGGAAATGAGTAAAATATCACTGAAAATGAGTCATTATTTGAAAAGGAATAGACACAAGGAGTGGGTCATTGTAGTCATTTTAAGCTTCTCTTTGCTTTATGAAGCTAGAAAATTTTAAAATGCTGTGGATGTTACGTTGTTATAGTTCACTTACCAACACACAAGTTTTCACCGAAAATATGAGGAGTCACGAAAGCAACTTGTAAGTTTTGATTATTCCTTCCGTCATGTCAAAAAATACCAGGCCTTTCTGGAGTAACAAACCAATATTTATGGATAAAAGTCAAGTTTACCACTAGGCATTTTTCTGCCCATAAAACTTGCAACTAGAATGCCTACTCTTTAGTAGATCGCATTTTTTGTAACCTTTAGCAAAAAACCTTTTAGCAATGCAAGCAGAAATACAGCACCTTTCAGTGTGAACTTGGTGGCTCTTAAAAGAGCCTTTGGATTTTTGACGGTTGCATGACGTGCTTACTAGAAACTTTTAAGCTCTCTCCCCACGGATGCGACGGGCTAACTGGATGTCCTTAGGCATGATGGTGACTCTCTTTGCGTGAATTGCACACAAGTTGGTGTCCTCAAAAAGCCCAACCAAATATGCCTCGCTAGCCTCCTGCAGGGCCATAACAGCTGAGCTCTGGAAGCGCAAGTCGGTCTTGAAGTCCTGGGCGATTTCTCGCACCAGGCGCTGGAAGGGCAGCTTGCGGATCAGCAGCTCGGTAGATTTCTGGTAGCGGCGGATTTCTCGCAGGGCGACGGTACCGGGGCGATACCGATGAGGCTTTTTCACTCCCCCGGTGGCAGGCGCGCTCTTTCGAGCAGCTTTAGTGGCCAGCTTTACCCCCAGTAGATTTGCGAGCCGTTTGCTTTGTCCTAGCCATCTTCCTTAACTAAGAACAAAACCCTGCTCTCAGACAAGACGTTCAGCATCAAAACCCGGCATTTATATCCAAAGTCTCCCTCCTGATTGGCTGAAGGAAAAAGGCAAATACCATTGGATAATTTAAAATATTTGAAGAACCCGCGCTCTACCGGGAGAGCAAGAACGGATTCTTCCCGCCTTCTTTCTGCTTATACAGTCTCAGCAGCTCGCGCCCTCCCATCATCTCATTTCGCGGAACACGCGCGCCCTCTAGCGCCCATTGCTTCGATTCCTTTCCTAGTAATTTAATTAAGCGTTATTTTAAATGACTGATTTTTCTCTTTAAACCCTTTCCTCGCCGCTTGAAAATTTACGACCTTTCTCCTCCACATGCCCACAAAATAAGCAATTGATCCAGAATTAGTAAAAACGAAAACTTATTGTGATGTTTAATACAGAAGTTTAATACCCATTAGTTTTTACTTCCCTGAAAACCAAGCTATATACATCTCAACACGGTATTGCTTAAGTAAAACCCCCCGACAAGGTGATTTAAATACCAAACTAGCCGATTTACGTTTTATTCTAATACCTACACGTACGAATTGATACTTTCTGTTCAAAGGATTTGAGTTTGCAGACGGGGATTTAGACTTCCAATATTAAGTGTAAATTTCTCAATAAGTTAGGATATAATCTGGATTTTTGGGAGAATGTTCCTTTGCAGTAACTTTTAAGATCACACTTACCGCATTCAGGAAGGATTAAGATCACACTTACCGCATTCAGGAAAGAGAGACAAGTGATATGAGCTCTTTTATTGAAAGTGTGGGTGGCTCTTAAAAGAGCCTTTGGGTTATATGTTCTGTAACAATCTACTTAGAGCTAGTATATTTGGTCACAGCCTTAGTGCCCTCAGACACAGCATGCTTCGCCAACTCGCCTGGCAGCAGTAGTCTCACAGCAGTCTGAATCTCCCGAGAAGTGATGGTTGAACGCTTGTTGTAATGCGCTAAACGAGACGCCTCTCCTGCAATACGCTCGAAAATATCGTTCACAAAGGAATTCATGATGCCCATAGCCTTAGAGGAAATGCCAGTGTCCGGATGAACTTGCTTCAGCACTTTGTACACGTAGATGGAGTAACTTTCCTTTCTCGTCTTCCTGCGTTTTTTGTCTCCCTTCTTCTGGGTCTTAGTAACAGCTTTCTTAGACCCCTTCTTAGGTGCTGGAGCGGATTTTGCCGGCTCAGGCATTTTGAGTTTTGTTGCTTTCTCTAAAAGACAGAAACAACGTAAGTACAATGGCGGACATCCCCCTTATTTATAGGGCTCATATGCAAATGAGATGATTGTAGTCGTACATTTTTATTGGGCCTTAGATAAAGGAACGTCACACACGAAAGACTCCGCACCTAATTGGTCAAAATAAAATCCTCATCGCCATTGGTTGGAAATACAATGAAAATTTTCAACCAATCGTGAGTCAGTGTCTGTGCCACAATGAAGGGATAAAAAGGCAGGATTCGGGCGGCGTGTTATTCTAGTCTTGATCTTTTCGAAGCTTATTACTTTTTGTAGTCAAGGGGCATAATGTCAGGTCGAGGAAAGCAGGGAGGTAAAGTGAGAGCAAAAGCTAAATCTCGTTCTTCAAGAGCTGGGCTTCAGTTCCCTGTAGGCCGTGTGCATCGTCTTCTTCGAAAAGGTAATTATGCTGAGCGCGTGGGGGCTGGCGCGCCAGTGTATATGGCTGCTGTGCTTGAATATCTGACCGCTGAAATTTTGGAGTTGGCTGGTAACGCAGCACGAGACAACAAGAAAACCAGGATCATTCCCCGTCACCTACAACTCGCCATCCGTAACGATGAGGAGCTTAACAAACTGCTGGGGAAAGTCACGATCGCTCAAGGTGGTGTTCTGCCCAACATCCAGGCTGTACTACTGCCTAAGAAAACCGAGAGCCATAAGGCGAAGAGCAAGTAAAAATAACAGTATTCTCAATTAACCCAAAGGCTCTTTTCAGAGCCACCCACAGTATCGAGAAAAGAGTTGAGTTTCTAATATATCTTGCCTACTTCTTAAAACTTACCATGCTTTTCAAACGTGGGGGAGAAGCAAAATAAAGCCTCATTAACCAATCCATGTAAAAGGCAGGCTTTTTAAATTATCCTATTGTTGTGAAGGGCAGACCCGTTATTCATGAGCTATTATTAGAATGAGGGAGAGTTGTAAATGACAAATTCTCATCCTTTACATTACTGGGATAAAAAGCACTTGCCCCATCATTCAGATTTTTTAAATTGTTTCAGATAGATTGAATTAGCTTCCAACTAATACACTTGTTCAATGCATTGTTGTGAAAGTGAAATAGACCAAATCCTCTCAAAACCATTGAGTTTCAGCTCCTTCAGGAATGGGATTGGGGGCAGGGAGGCTCTTAAGACCTACTAGGGTTGTTTGCATGAGACAGCTTCACTTCTTGGGCACTGCCTTCTTTGCTTTTCCTGCTTTTGGTTTGGTTGGTTTAGACTTGGAAGCTTTGGGCCTCTCCGCCTTAGCTTTAGCCAGGCTCTTAGCTGCCTTCTTGGACTTGGTAGGTTTAAACTTGTTTGGCCTCTTGGCCACCTTTTTGACTGCAGAAGCCACTGGTTTCTTTGCTTTTTTTCCAGGCTTTTTCATGGTAACAGCATTTTTAGGCTTCTTAGTAGTGCTGGCAAGTTGCTTAGCAGCTAGTTTCTTAGATTTTGTTACTGGCTTCTTGGGTGCCTTCTCCTTGCTCTCACCTGGTTCTTGCTGAGTTTGAAGGAATCAGAGGAGACATTTCCTTTAATCTACACCAAAATTTTCCTTTGTTCACCAGACTCAACCACACCTTAATATGACTATTCTCTTAATTATAGCCATGAGCTGCCAAAGCTGTCTTCAGAGCTGCTCAAGAGAGTCCTTTACGCTCCTTGGAAGCCAATAAATTTGGTCACACTGAGGCCAGCTGGGCTTTCCACCCTCCTACTGTTTGCCTTTTTAGCTGGAGCAGAAGCAGCTAGAGCTGTAACTAGACAGTTACAGATATGGTGAAACAAGTTTCAAAACGGGGGAAAAGTGAACTAGTATGATGCCTGTTATTTATAGGGAGGAGTCACTGTCTGATTTGAGTGCTAAAGAACCCGCCCATCTGCAAACTAGAAAAGGCTCTTTCCTGTCTCCTTTTGTGTTTCTTTGGCATCAATTAAGTATGTTTGCCATCAAATTATCCATTTTCTCAGCCAAATGAAGCTGAAACAGAATATTTTCATCCTTTAATGTTTCATACAAAAGTAATATAATTACATTAAATAAAAAATTATAAACTTTTAATATTTAACCTAGATGGACCTTGAGTGAGGAAAAAACCTGTTTTCCTTTGTAAATGAAAAAAAGTCCCTTTTCAGAAAATCAAAAAAAGTAATGCTTTTTTATGGTCTTTTTTTTCTATTGGGAAAGAAAGTGAGTAATTGTGTCAATAAGTTCATTATAAAACTATTTCAAACAAAGAGGTATGTAGTACTCCCAGTAAATAAACTGCAGGCAGGTTGAACAAGGTATATACCTCCAACCTTAAAGAAGTATTATTGTTTTGTTTTTAACATTTGAATTATCATTGGGACCACACAGGAGCTGTATTTTTAAATAAACATAAGGTGGTAACCTTGTTAGCACTAGCCCAAGCTCGCATATAATGTGAGAGTTGAAACATTAGAGATTACAACTCAATTAGTATCCGAGGCTTAATTCAGAATCAATGAGAAACAACACTTCTATGAATTCTGTATAAAGTATTGATTAAAATTCAATCTCTCTCTCTACTAAAGAGCAGCCTGGCTCTTTGGTTGTTGGGTAGGAAGGGCTTTGTCTTTTTTTGTTGGGTTTCCCTCTACCTTGATAATAATGGATGGTCCTTAAGATTCCTTGCTGGTTTCAAAGCTATTCCGCTGGTCTGAGACAGCAGGGAATTTGAAATGTTAATTCTGATTGACAATTTGAAAAGCCCGCGTTTTGAAATGGAAGGTATAGAATTCCCCGATTAGGTTCGCGTGGTCAGACTGGTTTCACCCACCGAAAGAAGTGCTGCAGTACCTTCGGGGATTTTTAAATCTACATTTAGACATCTCTGATTTTCACCACTGCTTAATAAATTCCTTAACGTATTTTCAGTCACATCTGTTTTTAATGAAGTTTATTTGATATCTTTTATTTTTCAAATGATAAATGGAATACTGTAGACAAAAACCTGATCTTACACAGCACAATTTACATTATAGTTTTCAGATTGTCATTCGGTAACAATAAAGCATGTTTCCAGTGAATACAAAGACTCCATTTGTTTCTAAACAACTTTGGTCAGTGGACAGGTTCTCTCTCTCCTGAACTGGAGGATCATTTTCATAGTTGACTTACATTTATTTGTTGATTCCAATGGTCAGATTAACCAGCACTGAATAAGAAATTCCTTCAGTACTAAGCAGAAACAAATCATGAGAACATTATGCACCCACTATTCAAATAATTTATCATTTATTTTCATAATGATTTGTGGCATGCTGTTTTTTTAATTAAAATGATGTTTTTCACTAGTTTATTACTAAGAGGAAAAAGACTAACTAAAAGTCTTTTTCTTTATACCCTTGTTTAAAATAAGAAATCTCTTATTTTAGAGTCTAGGTTCTAAGACCATAAGGGACCATTATGGTCATCTATTTCATGTCATGCATAATACAGACCACTGAATTTTCCCAAATAATCCCTTAGCCAGAGAATATTTTTAGAAAAAAAATCCAATATAAAAAACTCAGGAGCAGCCAAACTGGATTAGACCACAGGTCCATTTAACCCAGTATCCTGTCTTCAGACAGTAGACAATGCCCAGGTGCCCCAAAGGGAATGGACAGGACAGGTGATCAACAAGTGATCCATCTTCTGTCACACATTCCCAGCTTCTGGCAAATAGAGGCTAGGGACAACATCTCTGCCCATCCCAATTAATAGCCACTGCTGTACCTATCCCCCATGAACTTCTCTATATCTTTTTGTACCCAGTTATAGTCTTGGCCGCCTCAGCATCCTCTGTCAAGGAGTTCCAAAGCTGACTCGCATTATGTGAAAAATAAATCTTTTGTTTGTTTTAAACCTCCTCCCTATGAATACCTATTACCTGGCACCCCAAGCTTCTGGTCACAGAGACCAGGGAGCTCCAGCTTCAGTGGCAGCCAGGGAGCTCTGCAGTCACCTGGTATGAGGGCCAGTGCTGGAGCTCTGCATACTGTCTCCAGCAGTAAAGAGGCACCAGATTAAGCCTACAATTCCCTTCTCCCCACACTGCTGCTTTTAGAGGGAAGGGGAAGTCAAAGCAGTGTAGTCATTTGTGTGCAGGGAGAGAGAAACTCAGGCTATGTCTACACTGGAAAGATTTGGCAACAAAAGTGCTGTCGACATGCAAAAGTCACCAAAAGTTAAAACTAACCAAAACTGCTTTTCTGCCATATTGTCACTCCCCCATCAACAGAATGAGGAAAGCAATGTCAGTATGCATCCTGCAGTGGCTGGCATCACTTTTGGTTGCTAAGCACTATGGAAATGTGCAATGTAACGCTAGGCATTTTGGAAGCTGTAACCTGTCCTGTTCAGCTACCTCTTTGCTTCCCAGCCCTCCCAAGGCTTCCGGACTACTTTTGTACCACTTGTGAACTTCAACATCTGCTTTGCGAAATCATGGATCCCAGACTTCTCTCTCATGTTGTGTTCAACGTGCTTAGAACAGGAGTGGGGAACATATGATGTGGGGGCAAGATCCAATTAATCTATGCCCTCCCCCCACCACAGTATCAAAGAGCTGGTGCTCCAGCTCTGCAGCCCCCCTCCAGGAGTGCTGACTCTCCACTCTAGGGCTATGTCTATACTCACGGCTTCTTGCGCAAGTAATATGCAAATTAGGTTAAGCGTGGAATATTGCCGAACCTAATTTGCATACATAATGAGCCACCATTTTTTTCAGAAGAGGCTCTTGCGCAAGAAGGAGTGTCTACACTGCCCCTTCTTCTGCAAGAAAAACCCTCTTGCACAATGCCGTTCTTCCTGTCAAGAAATAAGTGTAATGGCGTTGCGCAAGAGGGTTTTTCTTGCGCAAAAAGGGGCAGTGTAGACGCTCTTTCTTGCCCAAGAGCCTCTTCTGAAAAAAATGGTGGCTCATTAGGTATGCAAATGAGGCTCGGCAATATTCCACACTTAGCCTCATTTGCATATTACACACGCAAGAAGCAGCGAGTGTAGACATAGTTTAGGGGTGGAGGGATGAGCTCTTTCTCCCTCTCACCCTGGCTGGGGAAATGGCAGCACAGCAAAGCACTGCCTGGAGCCATTTTGCCTGCTACTCTGATTGGCCATGACCCATAGCCAAAAGGAACAAGGTGGGGGAGGAACTGAGGCGGTAGGGACATGGAGCCATGTGCATCCCTGGGAAGCTGTGGCAGGTAAGCATCCCCATCACCCAGTCACTCTATTCCCCCGCCAGCCCTTTCCTGAATCCCCCTCCTGCACAGACCCCCATGCCCTCCTCCTATACCTCCTTCCCACCTAGACTTTTCATCCCCACTTTCTTCCTGCACCCTACCTCCTGCCCAGACCCCACCCCATCCCCAGTCTGCTCCTGCACTATATTTCCTACCCAGACTCCCACCCCCAATCCTCAGCTCATTCCTGCCAATAGTGACGAATTGGAAAGGTGGAGGGAATCCAAACAAACAAAACCAATCTCCAGCAAGAAAAGGAAAGGAAAAAGAAAAGTAAAACAGTGTTGAATTTCATGACTGACTTTGAGAAAACCTTTATCACTTGTGGTCTGCAGAGATCAGCAAACCAAAAAAAACTTACTATAAAGTTCCTTAACTGCCCTGTGTGTGAAGAAATATACATAGATTACATATTTTACAGCAGACTTCTCTATTTTCCTCTGTATGTTAGTGCACGTAATCTAGCCTCTTCAAAATCACAAACTTAGTGTCCATATTACAAGCTAAAAGAAAAGCTACCAATCTCCCTCTAAGACTTCTGCAACTGCTTTGGATGCGTCTATGCAGCAGCATTATTTTGGAATAATGGATGTTATTCTGAAATAATGCGAGCGTCTACACAGCAATTCCGTTCTTTCGAAATAATGGACGGCTTATTCTGACTTCTGTAAACCTCATTCCATGAGGAATAATGCCTATTCTGAAATAGCTATTTTGAAATAGCTGTAGTGTGGACCCTCCTCTACTGCTATTTTGAACTAGCTCCTCCCCAGGGCCATTCAAAGTCATTACACCCTAGTGGTTCCTGGGGCTCTAAATCAAGGTAGCATCCTCAGGACTATCTTTGAAGCTTTCCCATAGGGTACGTCTAGACTACCGCGTTTTGTCGACGGAAGTTTTGTCGACAGATACTGTCGACAAAACTTCCGTCGACAAAACGCAGTAGTCTAGACGTACCCTATGGGAAAGCTTCAAAGATAGTCCTGAGGATGCTACCTTGATTTAGAGCCCCAGGAACCACTAGGGTGTAATGACTTTGAATGGCCATGCCTTGTAAAATGAGGTTTACCAGCGTCGACAAAACTGCTGAGTTCTGTCGATGTTATGTCGAAAGAACTCAGCGGTAGTGTAGACGCTGGTATAGTTTTGTCAACAAAAGTCCACTTTTGTCGACAAAACTAGGTAGTCTAGACACACCCATAGTGTAGACATGCTATTGTAAAATAAACTATTTTGGAGTATTCCTTCCGGAGTAACTTATTCCGAAATAAGTGTACAGTGTAGATGTACCCTTTGTGAAATAGGAGAGGAGTCTGTTTTTTTAGTATACTTCGGTCATCTGAAGAAGTGGGTTCTGCCCAGGAAAACTCATGATACCAGGTACCTGTTTTGTTAGTCTTTAAAGTGCTACTAGACTATTTATTGGCGTTGAAGTTTTTTCCTGTTACAGAGTAACTCCGCAACCCCTCTGAAGCTTTTGATTTCTGAGGGTGTGTTTTCAGTGACCATTCAAATCCGTGGTCAGACGCAGCAGCAGCGACATCGTTCACGTTAGGCGAGAAGAAAGAAAACAATCAGGAGCAAGGGGAGGGAATCCGGGTGCCCATGCTCCCGGTTTTTGGCCGAAGCACATGTTAAACCCTCCTTTCCTTTGTACAAGCTTTGGAAAATGGCGGCGGCGGGGGCGGGGGAGCAGAGAAAGGAGCAGGGAGTGAGGAAGGGAGGCGTGCGTGAGGGCACCTGATTGGCCGTATTTTGCCGCAGATTCCTACTTGAAACGGAGCAGGGCGGCTTTTACGAAGCCACACAATGGCAGCCGCGTTATGGTAAGATTTATCGAAAGGGAAAATATTCCAAAAACAGATAGAAAAGGTGACGTAAAGAGATTCCTAATCTAGCCATCTGCACGCTGAAGGAGAGGCCCACCAGCGTCAGGAGAGGCGGGCTTCCAAAGGAGCCCCCATGCTTCGTGCCAGCGCTTCACCCCGAGTCGCCTAAACCCCCCGCGCCAGTCCCTTTTAGTAAGCGAGCTAGTTTTGCGAGCCTTGCGCCGCCCCGGCAGTCAGAGGCATGGACAGCGAAGAGCGGGGGAGGGGAGACGGTACAAATAACCCGCCCTTTTCCCTCTGCGGTTCTCAATGAGGTCGGACTTCAGGCAATATACGGAGACGATTACCCGGCATCGCCGTGCAGCTGTGACTGAAAAGCTAGCGAGCATGTCTGGCCGTGGCAAGGGAGGTAAAGGTCTCGGGAAAGGAGGCGCTAAGCGCCATAGGAAGGTGTTGAGAGATAACATCCAGGGTATTACGAAGCCAGCTATCCGCCGTTTGGCGCGCCGTGGGGGCGTGAAGCGCATTTCGGGTCTCATTTACGAGGAGACTCGGGGAGTGCTGAAGGTTTTCCTGGAGAACGTGATTCGAGATGCTGTTACTTACACCGAGCACGCGAAGCGGAAGACGGTGACTGCTATGGACGTGGTTTATGCATTGAAGCGCCAAGGCCGTACTCTGTACGGATTCGGAGGCTAAGCCTGGCAGTCATTCTTAGGGAAAAGAAAAGAAAAAACTAACCCAAAGGCTCTTTTCAGAGCCACCCACGCTTTCATAAAAAGGAGCTGCTGTTGCTGTAATGGTTTGGGGTCTGGCCAAAGCGGAAGACGGTGACTGCTATGGACGTGGTTTATGCATTGAAGCGCCAAGGCCGTACTCTGTACGGATTCGGAGGCTAAGCCTGGCAGTCATTCTTAGGGAAAAGAAAAGAAAAAACTAACCCAAAGGCTCTTTTCAGAGCCACCCACGCTTTCATAAAAAGGAGCTGCTGTTGCTGTAATGGTTTGGGGTCTGGCCAAAGCCTTCGTTACATTAGTAGACGACGGCTGTTCAAATTAGCTCGGGTGCCGGATGGTAGCTAGCTTCTCACACGGAGAAATACTTTGCTTTGCATTCTATACAGCGCATTATCGCTAAGACTTAAGTGAAAACCCAACACTCCTCTCCTCTCCCCCCAAAATAAATCTAAAGGCTTCTCAGTTTTAAGTTTGCGGGAGCGCATCCGGACTGCGGGGTGGAAAGGGGAAAACAACAGTGGGGTGTTTTTGCCCGATAGTAGCGTGTACCTAAGGAAGCGGAAATACAGCTCTTTTCCGTGTAAATGTGGTGGCTCTTAAAAGAGCCTTTGTGTTTTAAATGGTTGCAAGATAAGGGCTTTAAGCTCTTTCCCCTCGGATGCGGCGGGCCAACTGGATGTCTTTAGGCATTATAGTAACTCTCTTAGCGTGAATGGCGCACAGGTTGGTATCTTCAAAGAGACCAACCAGATATGCCTCGCTAGCCTCCTGCAGGGCCATAACAGCCGAGCTCTGGAAGCGCAAGTCGGTCTTGAAGTCCTGGGCGATTTCTCGCACCAGGCGCTGGAAGGGCAGCTTGCGGATCAGCAGCTCGGTAGATTTCTGGTAGCGGCGGATTTCTCGCAGGGCGACGGTACCGGGGCGATACCGATGAGGCTTTTTCACTCCCCCGGTGGCAGGCGCGCTCTTCCTA